AGAACAATAATAGGCCTGGAAAACGGATGATTCTGAGGTAAAAATAACAATAACAAACCGGATTATCGTAGACGGGTGATTTTGATATAAAAAAAACAATAATAGGCCGAGAAAACGGATCATTCTGATATGCTACGAACGATAATAAACCGGACTAACGGGTGATTTTAATATAATAAGAACAATAATAGGCCGGAAAAACGGATGGTTCTATTACAGTCTGATGCCCCCAATGACACAGCAGTATGTCTGCGGAATTACAACTCTAGAATCCGGGTTTCGATACCCGTGGTGGGTAGAGCACAGATAGTCCATTGTGTAGCTTTGTGCTTAATTACAAACAAACAATACAGTCTGATAAAGATAATTCCAATGTGCAAGTTCTCTTTAATAATAATATTTCATATGTTTCTTTTAGTGTCACAACATGATGTAAAATGAAAGTTTTTAATTCTATTACTTTATATTTCACATGTAATTTATTTGATCTTTGTTACATTTATGGATAGTTCGTGTTGATTCAGTGATTTAAAGGTATTTTCGGATTTTGTATAAGTGATTTTTTTCTTGTGTTGATTAACAGGTGTACAAGTTTAATCTGCATCAATTAAAATATTTAAAAAGTTTTGTCTCTGGCGAGGAGATACACTGAAATTTACCAGCGATATAGTAGTGCTCCATTAATTGCATAACGATTAACATTTTTGAGGTGTGTTTTCTTCCCCATCTAATTAAATAGAAAAGCTTAATTTAATCATTTAAGGGTTAAAATAACTTTATTTATATCAGACATCTCAAGTTCAGGTTATTATATCAATCGTCTGAACGAGAATACTTCACGAGTGCAGCTTTCAGGTTCCGAGAACCGAAATGACGCTGACAAGATGGCTATCTGACTTTCCGGTTTGAACTGTCCCTTGACCTTTGATCATTAGTGGAAATAGGTCACTAAGAAAGTCAATGCACTTAGGATGAAAGCCATGTCTTGTTGAACAGAAGTCGATTGATACACTATACTGACTATAGTTACTCTGTATGTAACAGATATTCCAGTCTGTACTTATGTGCTAAAAGATATCAAACCCTGAAGTACCTCGTGTATACATAAATATTAACAGAAGTGCTTGCAGCGTTAGCGAATATAATTTGTTTGGAAGGTATAGTGCAAATCACGAGGTAATATGATGTATATTGTGGCATGAAGGCTGTATATATAACTTAAAAACAACATTGTTTTTAGTGTAATGAACCTGTTTCTAATATGATAAAAACAGTTTTTAGGGTAATGAACTTGTTTCTAATATGATAAAAAAACACTGTTTTTAATGTAACGAACCTGTTTCTAATATGATAAAAACATTGTTTTTAGTGTAATGAACCTGTTTCTAATATGATGAAAAACAGTTTTTAGGGTAATGAACTTGTTTCTAATATGATAAAAAACAGTTTTTAGGGTAATGAACTTGTTTCTAATATGATAAAAAACACTGTTTTTAATGTAACGAACCTGTTTCTAATATGATAAAAAAACACTGTTTTTAGTGTAATGAACCTGTTTCTAATACGTATAAGAGTTCTATTTGTTTCTGTTAAGACTTTGGAAATTTTATTTTAATTAATACCAAGAAATTTTACTTCCACGGTTTAAGAGCCATTTGGTGGCTAATGATAATTTCATGACAGGTATCATTAAGTTTTGTGGCATACTCTTTTTTTCTTTCTCAGAATTTCACTTTTTTTTACAGTCCCACAAATTTCAACTTACATGAATAGTGTTCTTTTCCCAAGTAATAAAATATTAATTTACAAGAGGAAGAACATAAAAAGATAATACATACATACGTAATAAAAATGTGAATATTCCCCATTCTAAAACTTCTCATTTGCAACTAATACATACATACGTAATAAAAATGTGAATATTCCCCATTCTAAAACTTCTCATTTGCAACTAGTCAAATAGCGTTTTCTGACATATGAAGTTGTAATATTTTGTTTTATAAAATATTGTTCACTATATAATACAAAAAATAATAACATCCCATCATATCATAGATCATTTATCTCCATTATGTGGTTTTTCTACGAAGAATATATTACGTCGCGCCATCGTAGTGTATAATATCACTGGAAAAATCTCAAACCCCTTTTAGCATATGTGCGTGCCAACAGAGACGCGACCAACAACGACTGCCTTCCCATATTTATACGTACAGCATACACAAACTTCTTATTAAAATTATTTGATTTTTATTATGAAAATAGTCATAAAAATAAAAATTTAGAGTATGTACTTGAGTTACTTTAAAACATCGAGGTAACAAAACTCAGGAATGCCACATCAAAACTTCAAAAATTTATAGCAACTGTTAGCTCTCTCAATGTAGCACTAACAAATCATTATAGAAGTTCCCAAGAAGTTCCAAAACTTCCCAGGTCATTATATAAACTTTAGGGATATTATGATTATAGTAGACTTAGATTTAGTATTTTAGAACTTGAGTTGAAACATATTGATTTGAGTACTAAAGTAACTGTGGAAGACTAGATGTTTTATATTTCTTATAGAAAAGTCTTTAAATTAAGCCAGTAAACAATGGTGCGGTTAGAATTATCATTAGTGTTGTTTTAATGTGCTATCACACTTATGAGCGAAAGACATGGATATAGCAGATACAGTGTAGTTGACATTTGTAAAATATTCTCCTTTCGTTTCACTCATGCGTTCTTAAAATCTGTGAAAAAAAACAACAACACAGTAAACGGAACAAACTGTCACAAGTCTCATATCCGTTTTTTTCACTAATTGCTACACACAATGTTGTGTTCTTTTATTATTCTTAAAATCTGATTCACACACCAACAGTTGATGTTCATGAAAAATTGATGATATTTGTATATATATATATAGTGCCTGAGCCATTAGCATGTCTGTCATATCTCATCCTATCTGGTGAACCTTGATATTCGGCAAAAGTACTCGGCGGCACTGTATATAGCAGATGTAGCGGTTTACATATTGTAACATATTATTCTTTGCTTTCACTCTTGGACTCTTAGAATTATTATCCATTAAGAGATTTTGTGTTTATTTATAAATATCATAATATATTCGGATACTTTATATTAAACTAGCTGAGTTACCCGGCGTTGCACGGTAAAAAATGTATAGATCAGTATTTTTTTCAGCAAATTATTTACTAAGTAGACAAAAGCTGTGATGCAAGAAATAAAAAAGCATTTAATCAAACAAAGCTTTATTTGAAATTAGATCGTGTTTGAGCTTGTCTTGTTCTTTGAGCCTGAAGTCGTACATCGTGTTGCTCCTCTGTTTCTTGCTCTCTGTAAGTTATTTGTCTTAATTTTTGTGCTTGAAGTTTGACGTTGGTTTGACGTTGTTCAGAAGTTTCTTGTTGTCTATATCCAGCTTGCCTTGATGATTCTGACAGTTTCTTGCTGTCTTTAAGTATCCTGCCTTTCAGCTTGAGCTCGAAATCTACCTTTACGTTGTTCCAAAGGTTCTTCCTGTATTTGAGCAGCCTGTCTTGCAGCCTGTGCTTGAAGTTTGACGTTGGTTTGACGTTGTTCAGAAGTTTCTTGTTGTCTATATCCAGCTTGCCTTGATGAT